ATAATCCTTTGTGGCCTTTGTTTCTTGCTTAATGATGATTCATTTTACATGCTTATGGCACTATTTATACTTCCCCTTCTTGGTTCATTTCACAGCATTCACCTCTAATGAGCCAGTCAATATAGTACACTGGGATTTTCAAAAACCTTCCTCACCAAATGCTTCTAAAGAAACTGCAGACATTGGAGAAGAGGGAAAGTCCTTTGAAGGATTAGTAACTGGGGAAAGCTGAGGGGAAGGGCGGGAAAGCAGTAAGTAGGAAAAGTTAATTTTTGCAAAGACTGAGTGTTACTAAGATTTAGTGACATGAGCGGCCTACCTCAACCTGGGTCATGCTCTGTTCAACACAGTTGTAAGGGATTTGGGGTTAATAAGAGTGTGGAAAGCGTACAGCTATTTAAGTGGACTATGAAGAGTTAAAGAAACTCTTCATAAAGCAGCCTGACCAGGCAATAAAATCGAAGATGAAATTCAGTATCAGTAAGCATAAAGCAATATAATTACATGTGCATTAGAGATGGATAAAAGCAGAAGTGCTTCAGCACTGCATCATGCCATAGATCAATCACTTTATGAAAATATTAGGGGCCAGGAGGTTCAGAGGAAAAATTTCAATTTTGTCTATCACAGATACATTTCAAAGGTATTTTTGTCCTTAGTGATGACTCTGTAATTGTAATCTGAATGATACAATTATGGCTGCATTAATGGAAGACTTTACCCAAATTTGTCCTCTTTACTGCTTTTTAAACTTTTGTCACTTTCTGCCTGATGATCAGACTAAGTATTAACCCTTTTTATTTACCAGAAACCTTTTTTTTTTTAAAAAAAAAAAGTTAGCATACAACTGCCTGGTTTCCTATTAAATTGGAAGGATATTTAGAGGAAAACATTCCTTAAAGAAATCAGAAATCAGGGGGGGCTGTTCCAGTTGGCTGGAACAGCTGCAAACACAACTTCTTTCTTCAGCTTTTTCTGTAAGAGAAGGCTCCAGAGCCTCTTTAACAGGTGGCGACCAACTGAGAACAGAGGTGGGTAGCCTTCCAACAAGTGGAAATAACTAACAGAAGAATAACAATGTCCCAAAATTCATGGCTAGTTTGATGTGCTTTGTTGCCTTCTTTCTTCTTGCAATGCCTCCAGAACTCCACGCATACTCAATAGAGCGTGCTTATTTGACATTGATGTGTACATCACACTACTTTAACAAGATGCACCTTATCTTTCTGATTAGCTATTTCTGATAGTTAACTTTCGCACTGCATCTCAGAAGAGTTCATTAGTGACTCAGAATTACTGCTGCAGAGTCTCATCCTGCTTGTTTGTATTTATTGGTAACTCTACGATACAAGCCCTGGTGGTATTACAGTACAAAACCCCATGCTAATACAATTCCCCCTAATGGCTATACTTTCATAGTGAATTGCAAGGAGTTCCAGTTGGATCAGTTTCTTCATACTCATTGTAATTCCTTCTGATCTAACTGATAATTGAATCTTCTTCCCCTCCGCAACTTGCTAATGGACAGACAGAGAAGAATGGTTTAGAATGTAGACAAGAAAAACATTCATTATGCAGAATGAAGACTATATCTTTTCTCCACTCAAAGTTAGCCACTCGTTCTCGGGCAGATTGCTGAGGAATGAACCAGAGGTGAGGAAAAAAGAAGGGCTCAGAAAAGCTTCAGGTAACATATAACCAGTGTAAGTAAACTTTTCATGTATTTAAAATAAGGGGGTTAATCTTTCTGAGTGACAGTATAGGTTGAAAAGGGAAGAATGATGTGAAAGAGTACAAGAAACACCGACTCTGCCCTTCAGAAGGTGACCAAAATAATGATTTTTTTAGGTCTGATCTCATGCCCAATACATTTATAAGGCTCTTCACAACTGCAGTACTAAAAATGTATAGGATGGAATATATTATAAGGGGGACAGTCTGCAATTCTGAATTTAACCAATCCATCATAGTATTGTTTCAAAATAAATCAGACTTCAAGCTTTGCAGTCAATGTTTTCTTAGGCACTTTTCAGGGTGCACAGTGTTCTAAGTATGAAACTTCAATACATTTTCAGGAATAGCATTTAATGAAATTTCTTTATAATTTATTTTTAAAGAATGTACAGTGCAGGGATTTTTATTGTTGCCATGTTAAAACTGCTATCAACCATAATGGAAAACTTGCATGTATTGATTTTTTGCTGCAGACATTAAATCTATGAGGAATTGTTAAGTGAGGAATGGAGAGGAAAGGAAAAGTAACTGGAAGATTTATACATATTGGAGGTCATCTATGTCCATATAGGGCTTACATCTTTGCCAATCAGATCCTCTTGATTTTCCACAATCCCCCAGGGAGCTATACCAATGGTGCAGATCTTCCCTCGAGATTTTGAGGCATGATCTTTCAGTGCATCTCCAACATGCCGAATGACTCCTGGGAAAAAAACAGCATAAAATAGAAATTCGTAATTATGTCCATTTTGTTCCTTTATGGTATGGATTTAGTATAGAATTCTTTTTTATAGAAAAACCTATGCATATACTTGCAATTAAGTGAAGCTATGAATATATTTCTATTGATTGTTGTGACAGTAACACTGTAAGTCCATTTTATCTAAGCTAAAATATATTAAATGAAGTAGCAAAAAAAAAATTACACAACTCTTGAAATGAGAATGGAAATGCTGGCAGCTGACTCTGACTTCCTTATCTGCACTTGTGTTCTCAAACATATGTGCATGCAAGCACTTGTATCCTTCCCAAGCATAGAAAGAAGCACAGGAATTAACCACCCTCACAAAATGCCCCAAAAAATTTAGTTCGCACACATATGTTCCCTTCTGTCTGAATAAAGTATGGGACTGAGAAAACATGGTTACACTACTCTGTGGTGAGCTATTCTACCATTGTTTCCAAACAAACTCAGTCACCTGTGATAGCTTCCAGTAGAGTATTAGAATATCCTGTGGGGACCAGTGAGACAACAGAAACTAGTGCAGAGAGAATGACTGCTCCGCAGATCGCTTCCAAGTGCATCCTGGTAATGCTCCCTGCCTGTTTTAGGCCAGCTTTGTCCATGTTTCAGTGGTATCTCCATGCAGAGGACAAGTGCCATTCCTCCTTTTCATAAAATTTTTTTTTTACCTGTGTATCAATAACTATTTTGCTGACATGGCTGCAGTGAAGCAGAGCTGTGTATTTGCTGCGGATGTTACCTGTTACTCAGTTTCCATGTTTGCTTCTTGTTCGGATTCCACTATTTCAAGATGACTGGATTGGAATTACAAACATCACACAATAGATGTGATTTTAGCTGTAGTTTTTCCACACCATAAATGAACCATGGAAGAAAACAAACCCACAACCTAACAAATACTCTAAGTCCTGGTGTAAAAGGGAAAAAAAAAAATCCTCTACCTACAATCAGCTATGAATTAAGGTATGATCCAGCAACCCAAAGGACTCAAAGCAGAAAATCTGTCCAGACTGCAAAAACTTCTGCTATTTGGAATAATAAACTTTTGGTGTGACATGAATATTCTGAACAACTTGTTTAAGTCATTAAACAGTCATGGTTATAGCCAGGTATGCATCAACCCTGTCACATCACTGATTCTCAGTCCCACAGCAGTATGTCAGGGTTTTTCAAGTACACTTTTCCTTAAGAGAAATTTGATTTAAAATTCATCATCAACAGAACAGACTGTAGTCAGAAATTCTCAATTTGTACCATTTCACATAGAGACCAAACAATTTTCACCTACAATTTGAAAACCAAGCCCTGGAGCAATCAACTGCTTTGCTCCAGAAATCAAAAACAGCAATGAGAGGTAACTAGTAATGCAGAACTGCTTCTGGAATTATATGTTTTTAAAATAACAAGACACACAACCTGAATGTCATTGTTTTGTCTAGGTAATTTTTGATTACAGGAAAAAAAAAAATTTTCAACAGTAATTATGTTGACTTTCCTGGTTCACTTGTATTGTTTTGACATTTTCAACTATGATGATTTGAAAAATGGTATAAAGCAGTAGTGCATTTGCCAAATGCAAATGTGATAGTCAGTCCTTTTTTACAAAATTTACCAAATTTACAAAAATGGTAGTTTGATTTCTACCATTCCTGTGGTAATCCATGGCAGTGAGTATACAATATCTACAGTATTCTAATGTGCTTTTAACTTAACATTTATGTCTGTCTTTGCCATTGTCACTACAAAAATATCTGGAACTAACATAACCATTATCGCCACAGTAAATAGGTCAACATTTAACCTGATTTTCTTCCTTGCTCTGTAGAGATGTAGGGGATATTACATACATGCGAGTCTGTCTATTTATCTGTCTAACGCTCCAGAAGCTATAGCCTCTTTTCTGCTATTTGTAGGGCTGCTGTAATAAAACTGAACATTTTTAAAAATTTGATGTGGTCTGGAAATGAGAAAGCCCAAAACTCCTGTTAGGAATTCACATTCAAATATGTAGGAGTTGATCCACAATGCACTAAAATTAATGCCTGATAGAGTGATTACAATGTTTTCTATAGATGGTGAGACGATACACTCTGGGGGATTACTAAAGTAATAAATTATAGCTTTGCTACTGCAGAAGATGCGAATGACATAAGAATTTACAAGTACATGTCCTAACTCAAAATTTTTTTGTGTTTATGTCTAGCAGAACTCTTTGACTTTCTTCTGACACTTCTTTCTGTCTCCTTCAGGGAGCGTAACTGGGAAGGCACTGCCCAACCTTTTTTATCTGGGGAACTATGTTTTGCAGCTTATTCCCAAAACCTACATGCTGTCTCCCAGCAGAGCTGGACCACCTGCTATCTTGGGTCATTATGACACCCATATGCTATGTTACAGACATTCTTAACTTTGAATAGAAATGGCAATGTTATTGCTCTTGCTGCAGGGGTAATAGCAAAAAATTAGGTCAAGCTGTCTACAAGAAAGGAAAAAGTGATACTTATTCACAATAAATTTTTCCACCACAACCACAAAACAACCTTTTTTTCCTTTCATACTTCAGATCATCTTATAAGATAAGATAAAAGTCTTTTCTGGATGAAAATGTTTTCTGGTTTATGTAATTAGAGTTTCACTTCTTTGGTTTCTGGTTAGTAGTCCCCCCCTGTAGCTTACTGTTGATCTTATAAAGTCTTCACTGACTATATACTAGTATAATTGCCTCACAGGAGGCTTTGTTTTCAGCTCCCCAGTGTGCATTTCATGCTTTAGCAAACCTTTTATTCCCTGCTAGCTGCCAGACTGGTATGAACTTGGCATTTTCTTGTTTGCACATAGTAGAGCCAACACTAATAAAATAAAACATGGAATGGCTTCTTAATCTCATTAGTCCTAATTTTTTTCTGTGATGAAATCTTCTAGATGACACTGTGCTTTCATTTCAATGTTGCTGTTACCTGTGTTTACTCCTCCAGTGAATATCCATGCTCCAGTTGTCATAGCAGCCTTAATGAGGCCTTTTCCAAAGACTTGCTTGAGTTTTGGCTGAAGTTCAAAATTCTGAAGGCCCCCGTGTACAGAGATGAGAAGTTTAGGGAGCTCAAGCTGCCACTCTTTGGTCATCAGATGCAACAGAAGGTCAGGCTTTGTGTCAAAAGACACACGTACATACTGCAGAAATAAGGGCAGTAGTAAAGAAAAAAAGATTGGTTAGACTCACTAGTTCCTAATACATATGATCTATGCCCAACAGATCACTGAAAAAAGGCAATCTTTATGACAAAAGCACTAACAATTAGTTAACTTGATGATTTTTCAAAAATTCGGAAACTAGGAAACTAGGAATAATGGAACACTTGCAATTCACATGCTGGACGATTTTCCGTGATTTTGGAAATTAAGTCATTAATTGTTTCTTTATGTTTAGCAATGCTTGAAAGACAAATGTCTTTAATTTATGGATGCAGAAACTGATGCAAAAATTTAAGTGCCAAAGATGACCTCAGTAGTCAAAGTCACAGCTGTGCGTTCACTTTTATCTTATTTTCAAATTAACAAAATCAAACTCTCAGGAAATAACAGAAACAAGCTTGGTTGTTCAAGCACACATAAATTTAAACTGAGCAAGACTACTAAACAGGTACTTTTCAGATGAAAATATGTTCATTTGTGGCTTACAGACTGATTTGTATAGATTCATGAACACATTTACACATTTTCAGTTCTTGGCTTTTCTGTGCTACAGCTGCAGCATTATGCCCCAAGGGACATCATGCCCATCTGTGTGTGCTCAGAGATAAAAACTGTCTTCAAAATGTCTAGAGCACTACCATGTTGCACACATACCTGTTTCTTCCTGACAACTCTTCCTCTCTGGGCTCTTTCTCCTGCTCTTTCTGTGGCTGGTATATGAAGGGTTTCACAAAGCCCATGACAGGGCAGATAATACTTTTTTGAATTCTAGTTCCGTAGCAGACATGGGCCTTAAGAGGATAAAGTTCTTTCTATAGCTGGTAAGATCTGGAGGGACCCTCTTAATTGAATAAAATAGGTTACAGAAAGACCCACATCTCTCAGACTTCTCATTGAACCAATGCACATAGAGTTACTTCCGTAGTCTTTCCCTTGATGGGTTGCTAGCACAGCCACCAGGTGTATAACACAAGCACCTTTGCTTTCAGCCAGAAGAATGCCTAGTTCTAACTTACTTATTGTAACATGCCATGTAGTATAATATCCACATATATTATGTAATAATTTTGTACCTTTTTAACATGTCTAATCAGTATTTCTTGCCAAAAGATTGTTCTTTTTTAGCAAATTGTATGACAGTAAAGTGGATTCCTTTGTAGTTGAGTAAGAAATAGAGACTTGACTTTTTCCAGAAGAAATTACCAAGACAGGCTTCTTTGCAGGAATGGGTGATTGCACAGTGGACAACAATTCTTAACATTTCTGGAAGCAGAAGCCCATTTCGGCAAATAGTCACAGGGAAGCAAGGAGAGGCACAGACAAACTGAAAGCTGAGCAAGAACTTGGGAATACACATTCAACCCAGTGCATCGCTAATGTTCTCTGCAGCGCCAGGAAAATTCAGAACAGCTAATGGACAAAGAACATACAATATTCATGTGTGGCAAGAGCATAATGTACCCTTGAGCTTATATCAGTAAACATCCTCAGTAGCTACCCATTCAATTCTCTCCGTGGGAGTTGAGAAAATCTTGCATGGCACCTCATCCCACTGACCTGATGGTGAAGCTAGCAATTTTGATTGGGATTCAAGGGCTGCCAAAGTTTTAACACACCAGAGGGGTTGTAAGGAAGCTGATCCTTATTCCCTTTGCTCTGCCCTTAGGGAGTGCTGAGGTTGTAAAGGGAAATGCCTTGTTAACACTGCAGGCTTTAATAGATAGATGACATCCTTCAGGGGGCCTACATGAAACCTCTGCTAGTCAAACAATGGAGAGTATGTTTTGGGATCTTGGTATCTGGTATCTTGGATCAAGGTATCCAGTACCTTGCTCTGTTTTTTTGGTGAAGACAGACTGGGAATTTTAAGAAGACAGTTAAAAGTGAATTCATGTGAGCAATGGCCAAATTTGCTGAAAACAGAGGGCACTGCATCATCCGAGATGATACTGAGATGAAGGCACAAATGGCATGATGTGTAGCTAATCCAGCCAGTGACTGGTTTTTGATTCTTTATCATTGTTTTATACCCCAGAATGTGTGACTTCACTGTCCCTATCTTCTTAAACCTGGATATTAATTGGCAAAAGTCTCCTTCATTTTCTTATCCACTAAAACCTCTAAATTTCAATAAATATAGATCTATACAGTGAATCACAAAATTAGAAGAAATATTTTCTTACATTCATTTGAAATGTAGACAACTGTTATTACAAACAACCGCTTGTTATTTACAGTGCAGGCAAAATCTGCTCTATACTTATGATAAGAATTGATTTTACTTTATAAAGATGAAATTTCAGCAAGAATAAAATGATTTTTACTTTTTTTTTCATGTAAGTTAAAATTTAAACAGTTATGGATAATTGTCCAAGAACAAAATTAACTCTTTAC